GAAACAGATCACCCCTGTTACAATCATCCAGGACATCCTCAGTCAGTACGAGTTATTTGGAACCTCGGGAAACGAGACTCACAGTGCCACTGAATATATTTCCAGTTCTTTCCTGCCCCAAAGTGCTCCAATATTTCAGTTTCCGTGCCTGAAAAACTTCCGATTTTTGTAGAACTGCTATCTCGACGGGCAGATACGAGGGTAAGTGACCCCAACTTGTCGACGATGATAAAAGCGCTGATTGTAGCCCCGATATTGAAGAATAGCGCTGCATAGCACAGCGCGACGACTGCGTCGATGGCATTCTGGGAATCTTGCCTTCTGGAGTATGTGGCTGCTGAGCGGAAATAGCTTAGCAGTTGAGCCGCTACGGCTGCTAGAAGGCCAGACTGCGTGTACTCATTGTATTATGCTTTCAAGTGAGACGATAATGATTGTAGCTTACCACAACTGCTCCTCCTTGCGATGTGTCTTTCCACCCGGATCTGACAGCTTCGACAGTAGGTGGAAGCGTTTCTGCGATTTAAGTTAAGTGCACGCATGAAAATGCAATCTTGTACATAAGTTGCGTACCATCCATACGAGCAGCAGATTTCATCATCGTGGTGGCTTATTAGAGTGGTAGAGGACGAGAGAAACAGTAGAGCTACAAGCTCAAAGGTTTACTGAAGCCCCAGTATAGCAGTGTTTGATGCTTTATATGTCCACCCATCGCCAGAGAATTCTGTAAACTAGAACTTGAAGCACCGGCACGCGAATGCCTCGCGCAGTCGCGTCAATGAGGCATCCGCATTGCGATACGTCGACAGCAGCTCCATGATTGGTGTAGAGACTCTCTTCTTCTGGAAATCTACGTCTATGGAACATGGTGGTGAGGGGAGAAGTGGCATTATGAGTCGGACTCCGGCTAGTTCCGACAGGTTGATGGGCGCTTATTATTAGCGAGATGAACGAAATCGCAGGCCTCGCCATTGGCTTATTGACTTCTCACTCACGCGGAAACGGCAAGGTGTAAGGTTTGATTGTTCGTTGAGCACCGAATATTGTAATATTAAACGCCGAATCTCTGTTTAGAGCCCTGCGTAGCGCAAACCTATATATCCTCCGCAGCGAACTCTAATTTTTCGGTCGACTCGAAGGAAATTCGAAGAACAATATAATCGCTGCGGCATGCAATGATGAATGTCCACTGCGAATGTCCCACCAAAAAGCCCTCGAGTGTGTTGTTCTGCAGAGATCGCATCATATGCTGCCGTTGTGAGATCCATGGAACATTGAACAAAAGCAACATGGTTCCCTGCCGCCCACCAACCTCCATACTCGATCATCGACACATGTGTTATTTTAGCGCCCATGAACACCATCGGCTCACGGAAGTCGGCTTGCACCGACTACCCGTTCTTATTGTTGACCCTTTCCTGATCCCTCCATTCACGGAATCATCAAGTGGAGCAGTCCCAAAATAAATGAATGCATAACATAGTATAGCGAAGCAAGCAGCGTTGGCAGCTGCAAGTAACCAGCTACAGAAGATACGGTATACGGTAAATATCGTAATCGTACACATTTAATGAACAGCGTGAGACTTCCACGTGCAGGGAGATGGAGATGTACATATATTGTATATTCGTGCGGTATGGGGTATGTGTATGCAGGATGCGGGGGAATAGGGGAATGGTGATATGGGCGACGAGGGGCAAAGCATAGCGACAAATTGAAAGGTAAAAGAAAATAAAAAGCATATATGGAAGATCCAAGAAGAAAAAAAGAAAACACCACCCAAGCTATTCTGAGGAAATAATAGAGATGGATCAAATACATAGTGTATAACAACAAACGACCCATGCCTCAAAAAAGGACTCTAATCTAGGATCTCCCATAGTGGTTTTCCGAGGTGCGAAAAGTAGTGCACATTCGGGAAATTTTTTTTGGAGGTGATGGGCGAACAGGGAAGCAAATCGTCGATCCTGATTGCTAGTTCGCAGGCAGCCGAAAAAAGCTTACATGACCGTATTAGGAATCCGCACCCTCGTCGGGCCAGCATCGATGCGCACAAACGACATCCTCGCAAGGGGGTTAGTGAGGGGGCCCTCCCGTTCCCTTTCCCGCTCCCTCTCCGCAGTTGGGCTAACGGGGACCGCAGGAATTGAGTGCTGCTGCCAAGAGTAGAAACGTGGCGTCACGCTGGGAGGCGGAGACGGTGTTGCAATCGCCAAGGGACGCACTGACCGCGGGGCTGGTAGACGGTAGAGTGTGGGAGGAGGCGTCGCTGGCATGGTAGGGGAGGCGGGAGAAGGAGAGCGCTCGGCAGCGGGTTCTGGATCGGCGTCCCTGTGTTCTACCCGTGTGCGGGTGCGAGTGATAGTAATGGGGGTGATGGGCACCATACGGCGGAGGGTCGGTGAGCGAAGCGGGGAAGGGCTCCGAATGCTCGGGGAGGGGATGAACGCAGGCGTCGTTTGTACGGGAGAATCGTTGAGGGTGAGGTAGGCCGAGGACTCGCTCGCTCGCCCATCCCTTGCAACATTGGTCGGCCAAAACCTCGCCACCTCGTCTGCATCGAGGTCCCCAAGGGCGATCCATGCCGAGTTGCGGTCGACGCTGTACACGTTGGCGATGAGCATCGCGGGATCGTCGGAGCCCACAGCCATAGGGCTGTTGTTGGCACCAACACCGCTTTCGCGCTGCTGCTCCAGCTCGCCTACGCTCCCTTCGCTGGAAGCCGAATCAGAGAGATCTGACATGCCGGTTGGGCTTCGAGCAAAGGCAGAGGCAGAGATCTCTGCTGCTTGTTCCCTTGCGCTTTGGGCGGGATTGAGGAAGGCCTCATATTCGGCATCCTGGAAAAACTCCTCTGAATCGGGGTCGAAATGGTTCCAAGACGTCCACCGTTCGCATGTAGGGCTGGCCTCCGGCTCAGCGTGGATTGCAGGCTCGGGGAGAGCGTATGTTTGGGAGTAGACAGCGCGACCCATGGTGGTGGTTGGTATTAGTGGGGGTGGGTAGTAAGAAAGGGCGCAAAACGATTAAGTAGTGCTGATATATGGTGCAGTCGAGCTGGGAGAGGCGTCGACGCTTTTGTGGGGTATGGAGGTGAGGGGGATGATGGGGGTGGGAAGCAAAACGCGTCGCGACGATGAAAACTTAAAACTCAGGGCGGCGTTAAAGCTACTTCCTTATTCGGATGGCTCGGCTGATTCAGCCTCCGCGTTCCCATCAATCAATCTGCCCATTGTCCCCATCTCTCCTCCAATGCCACCCACGCATCGCAGTTCCCGTTGCCAAGAGAGAAGCATCTACACCCTTCTCACACACCTTTTTCTCAAGTTTGCCCGACATTCTCGCTGCGGTCCGCCAAAATTATCTCGGAAAACCACAATCAACCACTCGAAATACCTGTTCAAGTTATCTATGTATATCTATCCTTCGAAACATGTCGCCAGCCCACATACGCTCCTACTGCGGTCCTTTCTACGGCTTCCCTGGCACTTATCTTGTACGGCAACGCGCCGATCCTCCACAAACGCCCGAGTCGACTCGTACTCGTATCCATCCTCGGCCTCCAAAATGCCACCCACATGGTCCTAGCACACGTCAAAGAAGACCGTCACAAGGACGCTGGACTGCCTTCGGTGTAATCCACCCACTCTTCGTCACTGGCGCGCACAGCCTTCCTTCATAATTGACAATTATTCCACATCCAGCGGACACAGCGCGGCGATAGAAGCGCTCCGTCCTCTATTCCTGAACTCTCAATTCACTCGCAGGGAGACATTGACATTGACATACTGTGGCACGCCTATTTTTATGTCTTCGGTGGACTCACATAACACAGAGATTCCGCGACGTTTGCCTCAAGCTTGGCCTCCTTGACTTCGTCATTTAATACATAGACGCCTTGCGCAGGGTCGCCGGGACCGCAGTATGTATTTTTGATGCTTGAAGCATTCACCGAGCCGCCGGGAATGGCTTTTTCTGAGGAAAAGCAGCTCAATTCAAACTCAATTGCCTGTGACGAGCTCCTCTGACTTTGGAAATACAAAGGCTGCCCGGCGTCCACGGATGTTGGGTGTGTGTATTCAGTTTTAATTTCGCAAATGCGTCGACATTCAAGGAGATTGGGCTCACACAACAGGAAAAGGTTTATTATAATTTTCCTTGGGGATTCCAAAAAGCCTTGGCCTTGACATAACTTTCGACCGTAACTTACCAGTCCTCTTTTGGCCGGACCTCGTGTATGTAGGCTACGGACGGTACATACGATGCACCGCACAAATTATCCTCAACGCGCACCCGCCAAGCGAACTGCCGTCTACGCAAGAAGACTCCCTCAGGCTCAAGCTCACCTCTCGCTTGCCATGCACCTGAGAATCCGGCTCGGCGCAGGCGCAATAATATAAAAGCAGTAGTCCTTTCTTCTTGCGGTTTAGGCAAGTGCTTGGCAATCCAAATCGCTCGCTATTATAACTCAACCTGCCACTAATCTAAAAACCCTAAGCTCAGCCAAGATGGAACTTATCCTATTCACCGACTAGGAGAGCAACGTCAGGATAGCCAAATGCCTTTAATCGCTGGAGTTTTGTCACTTCAATGCCACTTATCGTCGCCGAGGCATAGACATAAGATCACGAATTACCCTGCACTGAGATCTGCCCGACGTTGAATCGGCGCGCTTTACACACCGGGAAGCGAAAACTCTAATTTATAGAGGCCTCAACTTGGCATGACTGAGCGACCTTCCCCAGACCGCGTCGACTCAGAAGGCATCTTAACTATAATTGCTTTGCCTTAAAATTGAAATGCACCACTTCTTTTAGTTATTGGATACTAGTTCGAAAAATCTCTGATGTCCAGCATGGCAGCAGAGAAAGAGTTTATCCTGTTATTGACCATAATTGCCAAAAACGGTTGGCGTGACGCATTCTGTGTCTTTGGTGCTTATATTATGGTAAAAATTTTGGATCTCTCTCCTTCATCAAAAATGATGGAAGAGCATAAACCTGCCCCAGTGAGGCTCGAACTCACGACCTTCCGATTATCATGAAATCATAACAGTCGGACGCTGTAACCAACTCAGCCATGGGGCACGATATCTATTAATTAACATTGACTATCACAGGCGTATAGTAAGTATGTACTAAGTAGGACGCGTTCCTGCCCCATACAACCACGGCCAAGGCCATTGTCGACCTTCCTAACAGCTCTCCTTAAAGCTTCCCCACAATACGTTGTCCTTTTTTTAGTCCCCTCAATCTATAATCAACATCTGAATTTATTATGCTCTTTCAATACCCGTTACACAAAATCCATTTTATATTGATCAGGTATACGACAAAGGCTACATTCGCCGCCTTTTTTGGTTTCTCGGCTGATTATTTGAACGATCAATCTAGACAAAGACGACACTATCATCAGAACGAGCAACAGATGGAGAAGACAAATATCCATATCCTACCTCTGCGAACCTTGCCACCAACTTTTGCCATTGTCGTTCATCTTCCATCTTCTTTTTCTCCTCTTCCTCCTCCTCCATTCGACGCTTTTTCATACGCATTATATTAGCAAGCTCCACCTCCGTCTCTCGCAACACGGACTCGTTGATAACAGCCAGATTATAGATCACCGCAGAGTTCGTCGCCGACGCGCACAGCGCATGCCACCGTCGGCGCTGTTGATCTTGGTACAGCAGCAACGCCTTCATTTGCGCAGGATCAACGGAGTTCCAGAACCGGTGCTTGCATATATTGGCCCAGAAATCGCGGAACATGTTAATCCAATCCTCGGGCCATCCGACATAAGGCAGTAACTGCAGTAGGTGGTACGTCGCCTCGCCAAATTCGACCATGGTAAGGTCCGCGTCTCGCTTGGGTTCAGGCGGGATTTTAGTGGTGTCAGGTGGAAGACCTAATTCTGCGTTTTCGTCAAGTCGGATTAGGGCCCCGGTGGTAAAATAGCAAAGCAAAACATATCCTCCTTCCCGCAGAGTCGCCATTATCGCTGCCGATGGTATTTTCGGAGGTTTATTGAAAAGACCAAGAGTTCGGTTAATAGGCAAGAATCGTGGAGCAGGAGCTGCCGTGTCCGAGCGCACGCCTCTATTCCATCGAAGCTTTTCTTCTTCGTTGTCAGTCCTCCACATATCTTTGAGCAATACGATTGCGAGGTCCTCGGTCATGCCAGTTTCATCAGCAAGCATTCGCCTCACATTGACGTATCTTTCGGAGGCATAGTTGGGGCACACTGCAAAGTGTGGGTCGGCAGAACAAGACATAGAAAGCAGCAGACAGAAGAGCTTTTAGCTCGAGGGCGAGGAATATATAATTCGAAGTCGGAGTTCGAGACAATACAAGAGACAATTTTTTTACCATGGTAAATAACTAAAATCACGTCACGTGCGTTATTCATTAATATGGTCACTGTCACCAAAAAGATCGCCTCAGTGTTTCAGAGAGTCTTTTAGAGAAGCTGTTTAGAGCTCCGCTACTCAAGGAACCGACGAATCAGCGACGCCGCCTTTTGTGGTTATAGTGAGTCTGGGATCTGAATTCTTGTTCGATCTCCTGTGTGATCTCCTGATACGTCTTAGCCTACAAAAACATACTCTGAATTAGGTCATCGGAAACTGACGATGCTAACGAAAGACTCACAGAATGCGCCTCAGCCCATTCCTTGATCTCAGCCGCCTGTATCTGTTCTTGAATCACGGCTGTCGCTTGCTGCAGGACAGTATCGTTGATGATAGCCAAATTGTATCTGACAGCAGAGTTCGGCGTTGATCCGCATAGTAAGTGCCATCTACGGCGCTGCTCATCCTGGTATAGTAGAAGAGCTTTGTGGTTCGGATGAGTAACGAAGCCAAGAGCGCGTTTCTCCCAGGTCGGATGATTTTGGATGTTCGCCCAGAAGTCGCGATACATGTCGATTATCTCTTGAGGCCAGCCAGCGTAAGGCAAGAGTGCGAGCATGCGTTCGGTAGCATCCCTGAACTCACGCAGATCGAGTTCTGCATCTGTCTTGCGGATATTAGACGGCAAAGACGCGCTCTTGTCCTCGAGAGTAAGGTCTAAATCAGTGCTTTCGTTGAGAGCTGAAAGCGCGCGGTTGGTGAAATGATATAAAGGGACATAGTCGCCCTTCCTGAGAGTTTTCATAACGGATGCTGAGGGTACGCGAGGAGGCTTGTCGGGAACACTGAGACCCAGATTGATACTAGGGAGTAAGAATTGTGTCCCGTTACTAGTCGTCATTTTGGCGTCCAACGCGTGTGATCAGGAGTCAACGCAAAAATATGAGCAAGATGTCGGCGGGTAATCGACCTAGAGGCTTTGAAGATGGCTGGGAGTAAATAAAAGATAGGTCGACAGTCGAACGTTCAGATCGAAGGTAGAGGAACAACAAAGTGTTGAAGACGAGGAAGAGTCACGTCACGTACGTCGTCATTTACGATGTCACTGTCACTGTTCACGTCCTTTATATTTACCTCCTACGTACAGCTGTGCAGTAATTATCTTCTATCGTCGAAGTTTTCGAGCAAATCCTCTAAGTTCTAACATCTCAGGCTCGCGACAAAATTTACATGAATCGTGCCAGTGACAGTTCTTCCGAGATTTCGGCCTCGCAGCTTGCAACTCAAACGGTCCTGGGACAGTCAGCTGTCTTCATATACAACGAGATCACCGACAATTGGGATCCCAAAAGGCTCCATTGCAAGGATGATACTGAATCCACACCCGAAATCTCGTCAAGTTTCAAGGTGTTATCGTGGAACGTTGACTTCACAGGGCGTAGTAGACTTGAACGTCTGAGCGCCCTCCTATCACATTTACAGACCACTATCATCGATCCATCATCCACATATGCACAGGAATCAAATATTCCCATCGACCTTCCAATAATCCTCCTGCAAGAAATCCACTGCACCTGCTTCCCAGCTCTTCTTGCCCACCTGATGGTGCGCAAACACTATGCCCTGACATCCATCTCTTCCGCTACTTGGAGCCACAGATTTGCGCGTTATGGACTCGTCACACTCATACCGCTAGGGCTTACACAATTTGTGGAAAATGTGTTCCGCTGCCCCTTCACCAACTCAACAATGGGACGCGATGCACTCTTCGTGGATTTTCGCATGCACCCAGAAAAGCTCATTCGCATCGCAACCACACATCTTGAATCGCTCAGAGGCGCAAGCGACGAGAAACGCCCGGTACAACTTGGAATAATCACGAATTTTCTTCGCGCGCCTGAGGTGTATGGCGGTTTGGTCGGAGGAGACATGAACCCAATCGGCCCGCTGGATGAGGGATTGACAGAAAGCCTGGGTCTTGTAGATGCATGGATCGCGACACGGCAGCTCGTGGCTCCAGGAACTGATTCAGAAGGAGAGGAGGGGCACACATGGGGTTATCAGCCATTGAATAGGTTTCCACCACGGCGGCTGGATAAATTCCTCCTTACCGGAAATCTGAGAGCCAGCGAGATGGTGAGGCTCGGGGTTGGGCTGAAAGTAAAGGTGTCGGTGACCGATATGAAAACCGGAAACTCGACAGAGCGGGTTGTGTGGGCAACCGACCACTACGGCCTCCTTGTCAAAATCAACGTCGTATGATCAGCACCCGGGTTCGTCGAACAGATATTCGATGAGCTTCTGCACGACGAGAACGTTGACGCTATTCCCGATCAGCTTGTATTTTGATTTCGTGGACACTGTTTCCGGCCAGATGAACTCTGCATTCTCTCGATTGTCGGCCTTCTCCTTGGATCTGGAAGATGTTGAAGACATATGATCGAAGGCAAAGATGCGCAGCAGCTCCGATGGCGCAAAGTAGCGGAGTTTGAGAGGATGTAGGAGATGGATGGCATCCCGTTCTCCCAAGGATTGGGCGTGGAGGAATGCATCAAAGGTCGACGTCGTCTGAAAATTAGTCAGGATGACAGTTGAGAGCTAATTGCATGTAGACATACGTCAAGAGCTTCGTTTTCTTGAATGATCGATCCGGCGCGCTCAACGAGTTGCGTGTATCCTGGCATACAGTAAGAAAGAGAACAGTGAATTGCGAAAAATCGCCTACCTCTCGTAAAACAACATGACCGCTTTCCTGATGGTTTTACAATGTCAAATAATCTTCCCCACTTTTCCAGAACTTTGTCTGGGATCCTGTATCTCTGATAATGTTCTTCGCCTCTGTCGTCGTCCAGATACGTTTTTATCTCGTCAACCATTGATCGTCCGGCTTGGCTCTCTTCATCCAATCGTGGATCGGACCAAGCGATGCCCTGACCCGGTATTTGTCTCCATATTGAATTCGTTTTGCCTTCTGAAATATTGGTAGAACCAAATGGGTCTTTTTTGGCAAGCAAATAGTAGCGCAGTCGGGAATTGGGGATCCCAAATTGAAGCGGTGTGAGCAGGTGTTCGAGCGTCGTGTAGCCAATGGAACGTAGGGTATCGACTAGGATTTTTCGTGTGCTTGAGTCCTATAAATTGGATGAGCCAAAGAAGGAAGATCACTTCGACAGACTGTCTACCTCGAATCCGGCAACATTTTCGACGAGCAAACGGTCAGGGTGTTGATTTGAGACCGCCAACTCTGGTAGGACGTTTTGAACGAGATGCAGGAACGACAGAGCGCGCGGATCTTGAGCGCCTTTCGCGTTTGGGTTCAAGACGGTATAAGGCTGGCATGCAGGGGAAAGCAGCCAAAGATTTGCGTTGTACGAAGAAAGGGTGGGTGCAGTTAGGGTGGATATGTCTACCTGTTGGAGAAATTAATATGATGTGCCCATTCTTTTTGGAAAATTACACACCTTCTTTGCGATTCCTCTACCATGATTGGCGCTGTAGACCAGACATGCTGTTTGATCCCAGTCGAAAGCTTGGACAACATCAACGGCGAGTTTGCTCCGCGACAGGGCTAAGTGCAATCCACCTAGTGCGACATTCTGTACTCAGTTGACGAACACGTTGATATAAAAGATGCGCACCTATGCCGCTGTAAAATTCTAAAGCCTTGATTGTCATGCATACAGAAATTCGAGGTGAGAGGGAAGAGAAAGAATCGGCTTATCAAAAATAGGCTGAGCAGTC